CAGTTACTGACTGGGGAGAGAAAAATGTATTTGTGGCAAACTGATGAATGTTAAATAAAAAATCATCACAAGGTTTAACATGAGAATCTCTATTAGTTGGCCAAGAGTAATTGGGTTTGGATGTTACTTACCTTTTTTAGTGAAGGTACACGTTTCCACTTTCAAGAAATTGCTCTAGACTTACCTGTATGCAAATGAGAGCAAAATTTATTCATCTGCTTAGCCAAATTTCACCCTGACATAGGATTAACCTTGTGAAAAGTAGAAAAACAACACTGTACAACTGTATCTTTATTATCAATCAGTAAACTATTACATGACTTCTGAAAATGTATTTGGTTTTGGATTTGTATTTGGACAAATGAACCATGTATTATTTTTAGAACCTTTCATATAGTCTTAATTGCTTTAAATTACTGACAAAGTTGTTTCTACACATTTATGGGTGAAATAGGTACATTATACATCTCATTCTCCCAAATTGCCTCCTGCCGGAAGGTTCTGCCCCACCCCTCATTTTATTCCAGGGAAAATAATTGAATCCAGGGAATCTTGAGACCAAGCTCACAAGGCCTGCTGAAAAATAAGGTATATTAGCCGAAGTTTGACCTTGCAGTATCATGGTGACATGTCTTTTTGGAAAGATCAGATCTGTATTCAGCCACCTGCTCATGCATGCTCCTCTTGAAGAAATATGGATAGATAAGTAACTTAGGGAGGCCTGGAAACATCCAAACGTTCTTAGAAGCCTAAGAACTGTTTTATTCCTTCTTCTATCAACCACAGCAGAATTTGCAAGTGTTTTCACACCTCCTTGGTGTGTCTCAGAGCTACACTTGGGAGTGTTGGGAAACCCATAGCTGTTTTATTTTAACAGATTTCTGAACTGATCCTTCTTTCAGTACAGTCAACAGCAAAATTCTCATTGACTTCCACAGCAACTGAACAAAGTCACTAAATGCAAAATCTGTCTTTTTTTTTTTTTATAACGCAGTTAAAGTGTTATTGGCTCACACAGTCTTTCATGAACCTGTTGTTAATTGAGCTCTAGTATTATCACCTCTGCTTGCCAGTATTATCAACTTCCATTTGGAAAAAAGTTACTGGCTCTTACACCTGTAAAGCAGAAAACCTGAATACTAAATGCCCAACCCGATAGACTTTAGAAATCCACGTTTTTTATTTTTTTATACGGCATCATTCTAGAGCTAAGCTCATAAACGCTGAGTGCCTGGTGGTGCTGACACTGAGAAGGGAGAAAGGGAGAATTCAGATGACCGAGAAAATCCGGATATTTCTGTCCTGAATTTACAGCAAGCATGTGACTCAGTTGTATGTCTTTTCCCTTCCAGAACAGAGCACAGCAGAGCAGGCTTACAACTGCTGGAAAGTGTCATTGTGTCTTTAACATATAGGTCAATGGTATAGATTTGAGGATCAGACAGACATGAATGTTCCTTTTGAAAAAGATTTTAACATAAAACTTACTATAGCGTGCTAAGGCTGCAAGCTGTGGTACAAACCTTTTCTTTGCATCAGCATAATTTTTATGTAGAAGGCTCTTTTCTTCTGAATTTCGGACTTACATACAAATAACTATAAGCATATTTCAAAGCATATTTTAGTGCCTGATAGTGCTCATAAATCAGGTAGTTATACTTGTAATAATTTTTGTGAGTGGGTGTTCATGTGCGTGAGAAGATATGCAAAATTGGAAGGTGAGATGAGCCATGATGAACATTAAAGGTCCGGAAGCATATTGATAGCTGGTGTAAATTGTCAGGGCTTCATTGATTTCAATGGTCCTATGATAAATACTAATTCAGCTGGTGCTAAAAAAAATGTCATCAGCTGAGCATCTGGTCAATAACAGTGGAGAATGCAGAATGAGGCGTCAGTGTTACCTCCACGGTGAGCACTTGCGTGTACCGTTGAATTCAATCTGTGTGGTGCAACAAAGTAAAATTCCCTGTTTATTCACATTTTTTGAACTCTCCGCTATTGGGTGGAGTAGTGCACGTGGAGAGAAAGATGCGTATACATATACAAGAAAACATTTTCTATAACAAACACTTCTATGGCTTCTGCTGCAGTGATGGTACTTTTATCTTCAAAGGAAAAAAGCGCAACATTTCAAGATGCTGGGTGAAAATTACTTTTACACATTTGTTGCACTTCTGTGAGTTTTTCATTCATCCCAATAGCAAGGAAAACTAAACTCAGAATAGGCTTTATTCTGCTATTTACATACAATACTTAAATTCCTTTTAGCAACTAAAGCTTATTAAAGAAATGATAGTTTCACATGGGTATGAATTACTAAGAATTATAATATCAACAAAAAGGCATGAAGCCAGGCTTCACATAAAAATCTACACTTCCTAGGTGATTCTCAACATTTTTTTCTCAACGTTTTCCACCAGGTAACGTTCATTACCTTGTTCTAACCATTTCCCATCTCAGAAAGTTAAGTTTTTACTGAATCTGTAAATAAAAATCAATTATACAGTAGCATTAACGGAACCTAAGAGAAAAGGGACTTTGCGCATGGCTTATGGCAAACTCATGGATTCTGCTGCCTAGTTCTCTTGAACGCCTTATCAAATACCACTAATTTCTAGTCTGCATACAAATGTATCGACGTGCCAGAATTAAATCAAATTAGAATGTTTAGAGTAAAAGCCCATTCGCCATGTTTCAAATTGTTCATATTTATTTGGAGGCCTCAGAAGGACATCTTAATCTTACAGTGCTGTTATTTCAAATAGAAAAAGAAATTTTTAATGTTATTTGGAGAAAGTCCCCTAGCTTACAGACTGGAAAAAAAAAAAACACAACTGCTGCAACAGATACTTTGACGAGAGCTTTGAATGAAAAATAACAAAACCTCTGTAGGGAATTTCCCATTAATCTAATTTATTTGGGAGCACATTTTCACAATAATAATTAAATTATCTAATGTTCGCTTACATTAAAAAGCGATCATCTGTAACAGTTCATTGCTAGAAAAAAAGGGGGGGGAAAAGCCCAATATTTTAAACACCACAGGAAAAAACCAACAACTTACAAACATCAAAGGAATGCCATGATGTTTGACAGCTTCCTATGAATTCAGCTGTTTCATCTCTTAGTGAAGTTGGCAACAGAAATTCCAGCATTTTCTGTGCAGTGTTGGCTTTAAAGCTGTAACATGTTTATTTGTTAGACCTCTGTTCATCTAGTTTTCAGGGTGATTCAATAACCAAAATATCCAATAACTAAAGTCTTCTGACATAGGAAACCATATTTACTACAGACTACGAAAACAACAACTCTGTTCTCCTGTGGAATGTCATAGTCCGGGAGCTCACCCGGGCCCTTCAGGGGGTGGAGAATGCCAGGTGGAACCAACTGAGATACCATTGAGCAAAACGCATTTTTATCTGCTTTATTTCTCCTAGAAATGTCAGCGCAGCACATTACATTGCCTGCAAGTTTAATAGATAAACGATGATTCCGTTGTTATTTTTTTCTCAAAATGGTAGAATACATTTTCTTAAAAAGGTCTGCAAACATATTTGCAAAAGTGTGAAAGCAATAAATGTAGGCTTTTTATATTTTCACTGAACCTCCAAAGACTGACTGATATCCTAATTTTATTGGAAATCTTGTCCAGGGATGATACAAGGAATTAAGTATCAAACTCAATTTTGCTTTCTTGTAGGCTACCGTGGAAAACAAATCAAACAGATAAATATACTTAAAAGAACAAACTTATACTCCATGAAGAATAATGAAGATATTCCAAAACCTTTTCCTATATTTTTATTTTGTTTCAGCTTTAAAACAGCTCTTGGTCTTTTTTAATGTTGTGTTAAAATGTGGGACACCATCTTTTGGAAAGCCAGCTGCTGCAATGCAATTATAAAGTAGCCGCTAAAAAATCATTCACAGTATCTGCATCACATGAATGGACTTTTTTTTCCAAACAGGAATGATAAAATTTGTGTCGTTGCCTTCATCTTTCACATTTTAAATACTGTTCGCTGACAGAAATAAAGTGTAGTGTCATGCTTGGTTTACCTAAATCATTTATTTTGGAACTAATAAAAGTAAACAATTACCAGATACTGTATATAGAGAGATATATAGATATATGGCCACAAATAAACTATCGTAGAAAGTTATTTTGGTTTGATAAAGTTAAGAAAAGCACATAAAATCATAGTTCATTAATATCTTGTTTTATGGCCATCAATATTTTTGTATTTTTTTGTTTTGTTTCATCAACATAGCAAAATACAATCTTCCTATTAAACAATAATTATCAGATGGCAGACAATTCTTTTTATTGGTTTACATTGGCAGGTCACAGTCTAAAAGCACAACCACATCAGGCAGAAATTGCACACAGACCGCCCTGGATTTTGAAGACTTTTTTTATGCTTCTACCAAAAGACCTTAATTTAAAATTGGGGACTGTAACACGCACTAATTAAATATATAGATTTCTTTTTTTTTTTTTTTTAATAGTTAAATAAAATGACTGAAATTGAAGTACTTTATTTCGCTTTCTGCTTGATGTTAGCAAACGTGCTTTGAACTTCCTAGCGATCGTTTATGAAAGTTCAGTCACCCAAGTAAAACCCAGGTGATTTTTTTTCCTGTCGCAGAATACTGCAGATTTATTTCAATTAGGCCTGTTCCTTTTTCTGGTGTTTCTATTTGCATTTGTAATTTATTCCTGAAAACTAGGGGAGATTTGCATGTAACGCTATGCCACCGTACAGTCACAGTGTCAGTATTTCTGTAAGAAATGGTTGTAGCTGGGACTGGCCCATAAATTTGCAGTTGTATTAGTTGTAGAAGGCATGTTCATGTCTTCAAAACCCAGACTGGTCTTAAGATATTACTCTTTATTTGAGACAGTTACCATTACTTCATTAAAAAATGACAAAACAGCAATAAACATTTTAGCTCTTTAATGAGCAAAGATCAGGTCTCTTAGCATTGGAATAATATTCGTTATCCAGATTATCTTTATTTCACTCAGTGACCAGTAATATGGCCAAGAAGTACAAAGTAATTTTCCATCAAGTAGTATACAATTTTTGTGTGTAATAAGCTTTCATTCTTGAAAAAGAGTAACTGAAAAGAAATGTTTCTGTTACTGCAGTTAGTTTGTCAGAGAAAGTTCTTCGCATTATCTTACAAACTATCAAAATTGCTAGTAATTTGAAAAAATGTAAAAAAAAATCACATAACTTTAGTCTAATAGAAATATAGTACAGGTAAGACAGAAAGTATTTATCAGGGATGTGCTCTTAAGTCCATCTCAATTATTTCTTTTATATAAATGTACATCTGATTACATATACAAACATTTTGAAAGGACCGTGGTATATAATTACTGGAAAGCAACAGGGGAATGAAAAATTCCTTGTGATTTTAGAACATTCATTTCAAATCACACAAACATCTGTAGTGTTCAGATTTTAAAATTTCCAGTTGTTGTCTCTCCCCCCGTTCAGACATACCCTCTTTTTCTACACTGTTGCCATCTGGTCTAGAGAAGTCATTTGAACGGCAAAGCTAATGTATAGCAAAAAGGGAATCAACGTTATATTAAAGCATTATAAGTAAACTTTGTAACATGCAACATGAGTTTAAACAATAAACTGAAAAGTGTAATCAGAGCGGTAACATAGGGGCATTTTTATATTGCAAGATATCATTGCAATTCAATTTTTGGACACACTTTACCTTACCAATTTGAGCTAAATATATTGTAACTAAATCACAGCAAATTACAAATCCTTCATCAAAGGAGATTCCATTAAAATTATAGTTATGTTAAAGTTAGAAATCATTTAGGTGGAAAGGAAAAAGAACATTAATAATACAGATTCTTTGTCTGGGATTCATATCAGCGAGGGTTCACCACTGTATACCTAGAATGCCATAAATACGTTTCAGAACTGTTGCAATTCCCTCTATTTCTGTAGCTACCGTGAAATATTTTACTGTAATTACTTTTGCCCCTTTAAAATACTTCTTTAGGTTGTGCCAATTGATGGAGAAAGCTTCTATTAAAAACTCCAATGGGATGAGAAGAATTTTAATTACGGCTTAATCAGCAGCACAGCCACCAAGCATATAAATTATCATGCACATCGTGCTAAAAATATCCAGTTTCCTTTATTCCCACAACTTTTATACTGACAGCACTTATGTGATAATGTTGTACCTGCCAGGCTGTAAAACTTCTTTGACTGGCAGGTTTCAGCATGAGCCCCTTTCTAAGGCCTTAACAGCATTGGTGCTTTGTGTACTTATTCAAATATGTAAATATGGTCTACACAAGAAAACAGGTCCAAATAAAAATTGGTGAAAATTATCTGACATTCCATTAGTGTGTCCCTTGTGCATATTTATAGGTTTTTAAAATTTTCAGTCATAGTTCTTTCCTGTTTGTGTTGCACATGCCTAATTCCACTATGTAACTTAAATCTTCAAAAAATTAATACTTGAATGTGAATGAAAAAGTATCATTCAGGACAACTGCTTCAAGCAATTGCAAACAGTTGGGTTTTTTTGTTTTTTCTTTTGTTTGTTTTGTTTGTTTGTTTCTTAAGTTCATTCGATATATGTACAATGCATTTTTTTCAAAACCCCGAAAGTTCTTGATATGTATATTCACATAATATTCCTCCGTATTTAAATAGTAAGAGTCTTGTAGGTTGAAAGCCAAGTAATCTTCAGTAATATCACCTACTGTAATCCATCAAAAAATAAAGTTTGTTTCATCTTGTCTGGCTATACCCTGGTTGTTGAGTGTGAATGGGGGTGGGGATGAGGATGGGGCAGAGTATTGTTCTGTCCTCCGGTAAATGTATTGAATGTGTGTAGGGGTTGAATCCCTGGTATAGTGTTGGGTATCATTGTGATGGTGTTGGGTGTCATTAAAGGAATATCATCAGGAGACCTTCTCATAGCTAGTGTGTAGTCTGGGGGACAGGCGGTCCTAAGAACCACCTCATGTGGATGGATGGACTCACATTCATGATCCAAGTCAGTGTGCTTCATTTGGAGGGACATTATCTCCTCTTCTTGTGCATGGGTAAGATCATTGGTAGTAGTACGTTGTGGGCTACACCTCCTATGAACATCATGTCTCCGCTTGTCTTTTTTGTAGTACAATGCTGCAAATGCCAAAATGTTCAGGAACAGCAAAGATGCACCAACTGCAATAGTAACACTCAATTCTGTTGAATAGTCCCTTTGATCCACTGAAAAGGGGCTTGGTTGTTGTTTGGGATCGTCTTGTTTGGCTGTAGGAAAGGCTGAAGTAACAGAAACAGAATTTTTCCTTGTTGGTCTGAAAGTATTATCAGTCGATGGCACTTTAGTTGTGGTAGAGGTATACTGTGAAATGTCGTTAAGATTGTGCAGATGAGGTACCAGTTCCAACCAAAGGTTCACTTTATTGGCCCTATAATGTTCTTTAACTCGTGGTTTTAATCCAATGTGAAGATACAGTTGGTCTTTCTGAGAATATCTGGTCCATGCTACTTCTTCAAAACGATTTGGTTTTGTATGGATAAATTTTGTATCTTGCGGCACTGGTTGATTTGGGTCACTAAAAAAAAAACAACTCCAATGTTACAAAGTATTTCAAAAGGAATTATAAAATTAACATAATTAAGATTTTATACTTAATGTTTAAGTCTGCCTTTGGACAGAGCAGAATGCTATTTCCTACAATTAGAGGCCTTAATAATCTTGATTAGAAGCAGCATTATGCAAACGAACCCTTCTTCTACACAGACTTCAGCGACCTCCCTAGTTCCCCAAAACGTTGGTATCTCTCACACTGAAATCTTGTGCTGCTGAGGACAGATTGGCAGCAATGTGTTAACGCGGACAAGTGTATGAGACACCAGTGTGAGAGGACATTAAGCTTTGCGTTTCTTTTTTAGTAACATAAAGCTCATAAAGCTCAGCATTTCAGTTCATATGCAGTATCTGTGGCCTTCCAGAGGTGAAAGACCATGGCAGGGCATAACTCACCGTAACACATAGTGACTTTGAGTCCAATCGCCTAAGGTAGGAAAGTGTTTTGAACTACCAGTGAAAGAAGAATTGATGAAAATGACAAAAGTCTTCAACTTTAAAGTCACATATTTTATGGTCAGAAGTGTCAGTTTAAAACAAAATGCATTATTAAAATGAGATGTATTATATTTGGTGCAATATTTGTGTAATTTTCTGTCTCATGGGATGAAAATATTACCAACGCTGGGGTAAAGTCAATTACTAGTGTAACCGTTTCTAAATATACACATACGTTAAATGCTTAGTTTTGCACTTTTCTGGGGATCCCTTCATTATTTTTGTGTACGAAGTATTTTTTTAATTTCCTCACGCAGAATGTTCGCATTTTTTACCAGAGGTTTTTTACCTCTTTTTGCTAGAATGTGTAAGTGAGCTGAGGAACCTTACAATCAACATAAATATCCAACTCAATTCTTAATCTCTTCTTCATCCTACAAGTACAGAGGCATTCCCAAGGGAGATAACCAAGGGAAAACACTGCGTCATTATATCCTGAGTTTGTATACAAGACTTTTCATTATCTGGTACTCACCCAGTTTTTGCAAAGTTTGTCCAGTACGTCATCACCACTGCACTTAGCATGACATCGTTTTTGGAGAAATTACAAGGAAATAATTCAGTAGGACCAATCATGGGGATTCCTAGTACGTAAGGAACCTCATCTCCATGGGCTGCATCTGCCCATGCAGGTACCTGATCTGTCTGGCAATGATGGTAAAAGGCATAGAAATATGTAGGCGATCCAAAATTTGAGTGAAGATCTGCTGTAGCCACTGCTGGTGCAACCCACTGGTGATCAGTAAACAAAGCCAGCAGTGTTTTCCTTCTGGTCTCAGGATTGTGTCGATCTGCCCAGTCTGTGTACATAAATTTAATAGTTTCCCTCAAAATATCTTTGCCTTCAGGGTATCCGTATAAGTTATCGACAAAATTAGAAACAGCAAAGTCAAAATCACTAGCTGATATGCCATCTTCGCTATCCACAATATTTTCAACAAATTTTAACCCTTCCCCTTGGTTAACTCCCAACATGATGTCATAATTGAGAAATTCTCCTTGTTCCATCAATATCTGAGGATCATCTGGTATCACATCGCCATCAATTACTGGTCCAAAGGCTATATGGTATCTTGCTGGTTGAATGTCCTGGTCGACAAGTTCTCTATAAGGCTTCTTCTGCAGACATTCTACCAATTCTACAGTGTCTGACATGTTGCAACCAACTTTCGTAGCCAACATCCTGGCGTATTTTGCAGGCTGAAAACTAACTGCCCAGCTGGAGAGAGCTGTTCCGCTTTGAGCTATTGCTCTTTGAAAAAGTCCTGTGGGGAGAAATATTTAAAAACTACTGAAGTGACCTTGAAACAGCTACATACTTGAAAGACTCAAAGGAGTTCTTTGAAACAATAGAAAACTTTAACAGAAGAAATACTTGAATCTTAATAGTACTTAAATATACAAGATGGTGAGGTCTGACTGTCGTTGTACCTACAGGTAATGTACACACAATAAATGCAATATGCGCAGAAATTGAAGCAAATGATTCCACGTCAATGTAGTCCAGCTGAGGAACACATTTTCAAAAGAAACTCAGGAAGAAAAAGAAGTGGCATTATCTTACGTAGGATAACACTATTAGCTTGAAAGAAATTCCTAAATTTAAAGCAATTTATAGGTTGGAGGAAAAACCAACACATCTCTGAAATGGATTGAATTTCTGAACATTGTTCAAGCCATCAGAAACATGAGTGCATACAACTATGTGTTAAATAAACCTAATATTTTGCTTTTTTATGTTTGTTTGGGATTAAACTTGGTTTGAGAGGTGTAGTGCTTTTGAATTGTATATCACAGCAAAAGTTTATATTCTGGAGTAATAGATGAGAAAGTACTGGGCAGTTATTAAAGTTATAAGTGTCTAAGAGTCAAGATCCTTTCTTGTAAGGAGTTTTTTAAATGAAGGTTTATAGTGATCACACTTACATAAAAAGGGAAATTATATATTTTACACTATTTAGCTTTGTAATTCAGAGATTTAAACACATGTTCAGGTATTCATTTAGGGGGAGAGAGAGTATGATCTGGTGCTGCATGTGAACTTGTAGCAAAACACAAAGACCTCAGTGCAATTAATTTGAATTTATGCCAATTTAACTAGCACACTGGACCAGGAATTCTACTCATAGAAATAACAAAATATGTTTAAATTGCTGTTTTCCTCTCCTTTCTGTAAGCATTTCTGAGTGTATCCTGGATGAAAGCCTTCACTCCCTTGTAGTCAATGAATCAATCCAATTTTTTTGCTGTTGACTCTAATGCAACCAAAGCTCCACCCTTGTTCTGATACTTCTTGTGCTCCCTTTGTGTTGCGGCTTTGCCTTTTCCCGCTCCCTTTGGAGAGAGTTCTGAAAGAGGTTTTGAGTCTGAACCTTGCACAAAATCATGTTCATCCCTAGTGTCAGAAACTTAGACTATATTTAAGTAGCCGTGACCTTTCTGGTTTTTTACATTTTCATGGAAGTGCGTCCAGTTCATTTCAGTAATGCACTAATTACTGGAAAATATTTTATGCTGGGCCCTACCTCCTACAGCTCACTAAGTAATACAAAATGGTCTGTAGCCCAGAGAGTTGTGGTGAACGGTGTTAA